AATGCAGGCATGTACTACCCTCAATCTATGCTCCACAAATCACTCTTGATCAGTGGAATTTGTTCATGAACTTGTGCCCAAAATATTTGGCTTGTACCTCTTAGATTGTGAACTTGACATAAAGCACTTCTTTTCAAAAATGGCTAAAATGCTTTTTCCATTTAAAGGTTAATCTTCCATGTAATGACCAAATGAGCAAAATAAAATCTTGGCACAAAGGTTTAGCATTGAATTATTGAGTGTTAATGGGATTAGAGGCCTGTAACCTAGCTTGTGCAAGCTGAGTTTGAAAATGCAAAGTGTTATGTACATGAATTTGGCCATGAACAAAGTGACTTTTGCCCATCTTGACAAATTCGAATCTCCCTAACCACAAGGGTGTTTGATGAGTTATTGGACAATTTGAAAAGCTTGGAATGTGTAATACAATCCAAATTTGTAATGCAAGTTGAAATTCCAAGTGGAAGCATGTGAAAAGTGGCCATGAAGTTGGGCAAAAATCCTGCCTAAAATAGGTCAAAAAATTTATGAGTTAAGAATGTTTTGCACCCTTATTCCAAAAATCATAACTTGAGCTACAAGCTTCTCTTGAGGAAACTTTGTGAATCAAAGTTGTATATTTTGCAATGGACTATAACTTTCATGTTTTGAGTTTTGTTTGAATCCAAATATATATTGATGAAAAAATGGGACAAAGTTAGGAAAAAATTAGGAAATTTCATAACTTAGAAAATTTCTAAGTTATAAAATTTCTTCATTTCAAACCCTAATTTGTAATCTTTGGTTTCTTGATGAACAAGTTTCATAATTTGACATGTTTTGATGAAAAATGAATCTTGGCACTTGATTTTGACCAAAAAGTCAAAGTTTGACTTTTCAGTATACAGTCAAATTTTGATCAGTTGACTGGAAAATTCATCTGTCAATCTTGTGCATTTGGGATCTTTTGAACTTGTTGAATGTGTCAAGACCATGTCATTGAGTCCTTGATTCCATATGTGAGCTTGAATTGCCATTGGCTAGGTCAAACAGTCAAAAATTGCCTTTGTGCAGTCAAAACCCTAAAAATGACCATTTTGCCCTTTTGGTGATCTGATCAAATTTCTTGTGGAATTATGATCCAAACTTGATCAAATGGTCCATATGAGTTCATAATGTTGATGTGGGTCAAAAATCATGAGGTTTGACTGTCAATTGACCACAGTTGACTTTTTCCCCAATACAGCTGATTTCTAGATAAACTGTCCAATTGACTGGGCAAAGATTTGAATCAAGGCTTGAAACTTGGTATGAATAAATTTGTGAGTCCAACATGAAGCATGAAAGTCATTTTGGGCATTTTAGGTCAAAACATCTTTGTGCAAACTCAAACCCTAATTTGGGTCAACAGTGTAAGGAGGAGTCTTGAGCAGAGCAAATCCTAACTTGTTCTTGAACTCCAAGGGTCTTGGGATGAGAAAATGTTGAAGAAATGAGAGGGCAAATTTTGGGGTACAATATATATATATATATATATATATATATATATATATATATATATATATATATATATATATATATATATATATATATTGTGATAGAGTCGTACACAACACCAAAATGTAATCCAAATACAATTATGATACAATATAATACCAAAAAACTAAAACCAAAATACAAGTGCATCAGCATAAACTACTGAGTATGGCAGATGATGAGTCAGCATGTTACCCTCGAGGCGTCCCTCTGTTGCCTCCTGTATAACATAGCACCCTAAGTCTTCGCCATGATGGCATCCAAAACACCTCTAACATCGGATCCATCAGGAAACAGCCCTCTGTCAATACCATCTTGCGCAAGCTCCATGATATGACAACACCTAGGCAACACGTCATGAACATGATCCCTCCTAGTCTGCTCCTCCTCTTGGATCTCTTGATGAACTGGCATTGGTGGGTTCCCTAGAGCATCATCTACCATGTACGGAGACACCTTGAAGAACCATATGATATAATCGTACTTGTAACTCCAATCGTCTAGTGCTAAGGTAATCCTGGCCTCATCAGGAACAAGATGATTCTCAAAATCATCAAACAGAGCATTCATATCCCTCAGTTTCACAATCGGAGGAGCACATACAGCAGGATCATGGGGAATGGTCTGGGTAAACCCGAACTGACACATCACCTACTCAGCCATATAAGTATCAGTCTTGCGAATCCCACAAGCCAACCAACCTGTAAACAGCACAACCTCGTCAAACAGTATCGTGACATGGTAGTCGACATATGAACTGAAGTGAATGTCCTCGTGCATCAGTCAGTCAATGTAAACTCAGAACGACTCTATCTCCCGGTTCCCTCATAGTGGGTCGTATGCGCAGGCACGCGGCTTATCTTCAGTATAACTCGTAACATATTACCAACCTGAGATGCGGGGGAAGTGTTGTAGGATCCATCCCTGAAATAACAAAATTAAATAGTTAGTTCCATAATCAAAATAATTAACAAAGGCCACAAAGACAAAGAATTTGAACCATCATGAGTGACATGTTGTCGGCCATCTGCTTCGTATCCCACTTAATGGCTTCATCCAACTTGGTATACAAGTAAGCCAAGGAAGCAGCCCCCCAGTTCCACTGGCTGATCGTCTCAAAATTCTCAAAGTACGGTGTAAGTGGCACTGGTGTCCATAAAATATGTGTGCCAACAAGATACAAAAGGTATGCTCTCATGGCAAACCCCCTGTGAATGGTAACCTGCTCATGATCACCATGAGCCTCTCGTGCATGCCTAATCTCATCTGCGAACACCTTAGCCAAATAGCTATACCTGATGTGGCAACCACAGGTCTTATCAATCTCTCCCAGGCCACTCTCAGGGGTAACTCTCTGCTTCTGAACTAACAAATCCAACGCCTTCTCTTTGTCGATCCTATCATGATCCAAGAAAGTCCCTCTGATCGGAAGATGAAGCATACACGCGACGTTGTCGAGTGTGATCGTCATCTCACTATGTGGTAGATGAAACGGCAACGTCTCATGGTTCTACCTCTCAATAAAAGTGTTGATCATGCCCCAGTTGACCATAATGTATCCACACAGGACAAAATCTTTCAATCTGTAAGCCGTAAAAGCTCATCAAACCATGGCTCAGCAGGCGGCACAAGTCTATTGATTTTCCGCCATGGCTAATGACCTTAAGCGTATCACGTTCCTGCATAATAAAATTCAAGTCAAAATTCATAATAAAATTCATAATAGAAATAAAAATGCAAATTTCGTACATGTTTGTCCCAGATATATCTAGCAGCATGGTTGGCATAAAGAGGCGGAAGTGATAAATCAGACGGTCCTCCTTCAAAAGCCCAAGGGCTCATAGGTGCAGGCTGAGTTGGTGCGGTCTCAGGTGCCACTGGTGTAGCCTCAGGTGTCACTAGTGTAGCTTCAGGTGCAGCCTCGGCTGTCGCCTCAAGTGCCTGGGATGATTGAGGAACCGCCTCAGGTGCCGTTGGTGCAGCCTCAAATGTCGCCTGGGTACCGGATGTGGATCCTGCCTCAAATATGCTAGGTGAGGAAGTGCGTCTACGAGAGGACAGAGGGTGGCGAAGGATGAATAGGAGAATCCCACTTGCTGCGGGAGGTCGACGTTGAAGGAGTAGAAGCAGGCACACCAGAGAGTGAAGTTGTAGGTGGTGCATTTGGTACTGGTGGTACAGAGGCAAGAGGAGGCTGGGTAGCCTGACTTCTTTCTCTCCGCACAAAAGCATGTTGTACAACCCTACCGTGCCTCAATCATGACAGACTCTCAATCATATCTCTTGTAAAAGTACGCAAAAAATGTTATCATAAGGTCCAGTATACAAAACAAGCCTTAAAACAGACACATCCATAAACCAGAAGTATACTTCGGTTTATTCTAGACAAAACCAAAAACTTAATTCCGGTTCCTGTTGCGATAACAGAAGCAACGAAAATGGCGCCCCAGTCTCTTCAATGAGCTCATAAAAAGGGCATTGATCACGAAATTAACTTTAGAAACACATTTCTAATGACTTCTAATGTTGATAACAAGCTACTATATCACAATTTAAACCCTAATTCACTAATTTGAGTAAAAATTACATAAACTCTAAAAATTTGAAAAACTTACTTGATTGATTGGTGTTGATTTTGCTTGATTGATTGCATTAGAATGCTATATTTAACCAATGCTTGATGATTTCTAATGATTTTTTGACTAGATATGTGAAGGATGTAATAAGGGTTTGAGAGAATTATATATTTTATTTTGAAAATGATTACTGTAATAGGAGAGGAAAAGACATGACGTCATTTAATACGTTAAAGAACCAGAAGTATACTTACGATTTGAAACCAAAAATATACTTTCGATTTACACTCAATCCTTCTAACGTAATGCATTTATAGTATGATGTGAATTTAAAATATATTTTTAATTTTATAAAATATTTATAAAATTTTACATAGTGCGTAAGAAGGTGATGAGGTTAAGAAATTCTCTTTGTTTTTCGGTTCCTTGATATTTTCAAGAAGAAGAAAGAAAAAGGATGAGGATGGATAAGAAGTCTCTCTCATATCATCCAATCCAATTACAAGAAAGACACCCAAACCAATCCAATCCAATCCATACACGACACCCACAAAACAACACAAAACACTTTCCTCAAATTCAACGCATTTCTATTCTCCCCCAAAATTTCAACTTTTCTTCCAATTTCACACTTTCACAAACAACCCATCTTCAATTTCAAACCCCACATAGATTTTCATCCTTTTCTCCAACTGGGTTTTGAAAAAAATCTGATTTTTTATCCTTTTTTCCAACTGGGTTTTATAAAAAATCTGATTTTTATCCTTTTTCTCAACTGGGTTTTGAAAAAAAAGTCTGTTTTTATCCTTTTTCCCAACTGGGTTTAAAAAAAAAATCAGATTTTTATCCTTTTTCTCAACTGGGTTTTGAAAAAAAAAATCTGATTTTGTTTATACTTTTCTGAACCCAATGAATTTCAGAAACTTGGAAGATTTCTGGGCTTTTTATGTGAGTCAACATTCGAAACGAGCTACTAGACATTGGCACTTTGTGGGAACGCTTTTGAGTATTTTGTTCTTGGTGTGTTCGGTTTTTTTCAGTTGGTGGTTTTTGTTCTTTGTTCCTTTATCTGGGTATGGGTGTGCTTGGTATAGTCATTTCTTTATTGAAAAGAATGTTCCTGTTACTTTTGGACATCCATTGTGGTCGTTGGTTTGTGATTATAAGATGTTTGGGTTGATGCTTACTGGGAAAATGGATAGAGAGATCAAGAGGCTTGGGAAAAGACCTGTGTTGCAAGTGTTTTAATTTGTGTATGGTGGCTTGAACCTTTGGTGTTTGAGGTGAGTTTGCATCTGAACTTGTGTGTGAGTATCTGTTTGTTTCAATAGATTAGCTAGCTATGTGTGTTATTGGCTTATTGATGGCTGTGGATGATTTTTCTGATATATTTGATTATTGAATGAAACTAGTGTATGTGGTGATTGAGTTGACTTAATTGAACTTATATATTGACATAAGCACTGTGAGACTGTTGTTGAAGAATTATTGGAAACAGACAGCATATATATGTCTAGAAATTGTTTCAACTTATTTTCATAAGCTCTCTAATATAGCTAATGAAAACAACTTATAACTTATGTAGACTACAAATAGCTTATTCATAAAGGTTGTTTATATATTACTAATAGCTAATTTAAGATTTATGTCCTAAAAGATCAGAAGGACAAGGCATAAATTGAAGAGAATTAGGTATAATAATAGCTTATTCATCTCCAATACGCTTATTTTATTCTTGTGTTGATTCTCAACTGTCCAACATTTTGTCGCCTACAATATCGTAGGTCTTACTGTTGTCGGATAAAACTTTCCTTTCAAATTGAGTGGTATTTTTGTGTCACATAAAACCCATAAGGCCCTCCTCCATTTCAGCCACCAAACTTGAATTTCAATGGTTTACATCCCTTTTATTTTTCCATCATTTTGTATGATATTATGATCTCCAACTTTTGCCTCTATGTTAAAATAATACAATTTTAAAAATAAAATTGTGAATGCTTATTCAAATGTAGTATGAAATGTTGAAGTGTGATATGGATCTATGAAATTGTGAATCTCATTCAAATATAGTAGTATGGAATGTTAAAGTATGATATGAATCTATTTTGGAATTTCTGTCAGTTGAAAATCTACAGTTATGGTTTTTTGATATTGTTATAAATACCAGTTCAATTGGTTCAGTTAAAGACTCGCTAGTTCAATCATTGACTCATTGAAAATCGAACGAAGTAACATCTACTAAGAAGGCAATGCAGGACTGAAACATAAAATAGAAGCAGTAAATACTTACAATTACATACTTCAATTAGAAATATGTGAAACATCTATTGTCCATCAGTGTAACTTTTTTTGATAGAAGAATTTGCTTTGCAAGCTAATTCCGTTGGACAGTGCCAACCATTATAACCTCAAAGATTGCTCAAGGATGATGTGTAAGGCTTTTAGTCATCTTCGCTTCTACATGATAGATGAAGTTTCCTTTTTTAGCTGGTGATATGAAGTTTCCTTTTTTAGATCGATATATTTGAGAACTATAGTTGCTATGTTCTTTTCTTTGTTTAGGGAATTCACATTTTTTTTTCTTCAAGTTAAGTTTCCTAGCCTGAAATTTGGAGCTTTTATTAATTTGTTGGAAAGTAACTTCATTTTCTTAACATTTGTACAGACAGACACAGGTTTGTGATTCTGAGCTTTGAAGTGTTTCAGAAAGACACCTATACAGGAAGGCTCGAAGGGCAGATGGATTCATATGGCTGTGCAGCGAGAATGATGGCGTTGTATAGTGTTTGAAATTTTATAGTATGATAAGAATCATAACACCACTTGAAATTGTAACAGAAATAATAATTTTTATGTTGTGTGTTTTGTCTAATGCAATACATAACTTACTCTTAACTTGCATTGTTACACCACAACTTTTTCTTTACCAAAATATATCTTTCTTGAAAACTATTATTTGAGATCTTACAGATTTTTTATTCGTGTATCTTTTTCATAAATAAAACCCTCAATTTCTTTAATTGAGAAGATCATGCACCTTTGAAACTCAAACGAGCCTACTAGAGGATAATAAGCTGTAGTGGCTTGATAAGTTCATCTTAACATAGCTTACACTAAAGAGGTAAATGCAGAATAAATTTCACAATGGAGATAATCAAATGCTTGTTGGAACTTCCCCAAAGTAATAATATTCACATACAGGGAATATTCTTACCAGTGTAATGAAACTTTAATCTAGTAAGCAACTACCCTTTCAACAACTTATCACCACTACTACTTAACAAAGAAAATTGTAAGGTACTATACATTGAGATTCTAAACCTAAGTCTTGATCTGGATAACCACGGGAAAGGGTTTCATGCTCGAATTTGAGCGGTAACAATACCTGCATTAACTAATAGCTAACTAATAGTTAACTAACTACTTGATATGATAAACCTTTGGATGATGGCCATTTGTAGACCATCAGTAGACCCCTTTGATCTAGCTTTCAACAGATGTACACTTCTGACATGTTTCTCCCACCGGAAAAAAATTTGCAGATCACAAGTTCCTTATTGATTACCTTCGCCTAGCCGTATTAGTGTGGTGATGTGCTTTGCTATCAATTCTAATCCTGTCGGCATACATGGGAAGGCGGATTATCTCATTTATTTCATTCAACAGGACATCCTCTGTGATATTGTCTTTTATACTTCGCACCACCTGCAATAAATTGAGCAAATGGCTAAAATGTTATATATAATGAGACAAGAAGGAAATTTAAAATCAAAGGAGTTGGTAAAGGACCTTCTTGTAAGTATTGAAGTCATTGGGAGTCGACTTATCTGTTCTGACTCGCTTGAATATCCATTCATTTTTATCTCCATCCCAAGCACACTCGATGATCTTTCCGGAATAAAGCATAGGGTCTGAACCTTCTGCAGATTTTAGATTTTCATTAAGCATTTGCTCCGAACTGAATGCAACTAAAAGAATTGGACAAGGTGCAGACTTTGAAACATAAACATGACAACATCATGCACGCATAAATATTGCTGAAATGTTATTGCAGAAAAACTTAGTGCATGTTTGGTTTAGCTTTTGGAAGGACCAAAAGCAATTCTAGAAGTGTAGAATTGATTCTGAGTGATTTTAAGATGTTTAGTTAGGTAAAAATAGAACTGATTCTGCCTCCAGAATTGATTCTACTTGAAGATAGAATTTGTAACTTCTACCTCCAGAATTGATTTTAAGTGATTTTTATACTGAAATTTATTGTTCAACTCACTTTTACATAAATTTGTATCCAAACATAAATTAATTCTACTAAACTCAATTCTACCAAATTAAATTCTGCTGAAATCAATTATGTCCACCGCCACTCCAAACACACTCTTAGACATTGATTCCCATATCCAACTTTCTGATGGGTGCAAGAAATTGGTTCTACTGATAAAAAAAAAACCACCAATCTGGACACCAAATAGCATGTGAGCCTGTAAAAGTACTGAGAAACAAATGAAGCCATGACATGGTTCATTATTCTACAATGACGCGAGAATGCTTTTAATTAAAAATAATAATGAAGCACGAAATCCTATTGTTAGTTGAATATAGTATTTAGGTAAGCGAAAGATGATAGTGAAAGAGGGAATAAAAATTTCAAAAAATAGGCTGCTGCTATATTTATATGCAGTGTAATAATCTGTTACTAAATGGTAAATTGTCCTATTTATTTATAACAAAATTTTTGGTAAAGTATAATGTAATATTACTAGCCCAGGCACAAGCCCAATACAATAGGACTACTAACCATAGTAAAATAAGGAAACAAGACTACATTAGGAAATAACTAATTCATTCCACTATATTTTTTAGATCTTTGAAAGTATTCTCAGATATACACTGATATCTACAAAATACATAGAAGATATTCAAACAACTAACAACAAAACTGAATGAGTTGGACAGGTGTGATGAAATATAAAAAAATCTTTCTGACCTTCGAATGCAACAATATACCCTTCCATGAGTTTCTTTTTACCACGTTCATGGAGAAAAAGCAGCTGACGGTCATCATCTATCTGTCAAACACGAGCAGCTAAGTATTAGTTGGGTACATTAGCAAAACAAGAAGTGACCAAATGATAAGTGGGGCGAGAACATCAAGAGCAATATTCAACAACTTAGATAGAGTTGAAAAATATCACCTCAAAGAGAAAATCAACTGAATTCAGATCTGCGTATTTCCATTTTAAGAGACCTTCATGAGTGCGAGGTACGTAAGGATCATCCCATCCCTGATCATAGACAGTCAGTAAGAACCTCCATTCACTTCAATAAGAGGGAGAAAAAGTAAAGGAAAGACTCTGGTAAAGAGTAAATAAATTAATGAACGTTGGTCCTCTATAAGCTAGGTTAGATATGATGTCTCTTTTACTGGACTGGACATAATATTAAGATCACTATAGACCCTAATGAGAGAGAGAACCGATTAGAAAAACAAATATCTTAGGCTGGAAGCCATGTGATTGTAATATTGGTTAATTTCCAGTTTGGCATTGAATCAGAAGCAAGTTATTCACAGGTCAGAGAGATAATCTCATCAATATCAATATTCAGGACAAATGAAAATGATCTATACCCATTACCTACCTGAAATATGAGACCATCTGCATCGTGCGACAGTTTTGGAATGAATTCGATCAAAAGTTTTGTGACAGTAGACAGCAACCAAAAATCTTTCCTCCTCACCTAATCATTTCAGATATATCAACAGCAAACTACCAGGAGAAAAATAAAGCTTGAGCTATGTGCCCAATTTCAGGTCAGAAATGCATACCCTGAAAGGCTCCATGTCATATCTATAGTAAGGAATTTTTCCCTGATACCGTTCCTGATTCCTGGGTTCAATCACTTCTTTCTCAAGCATCTTCCACCGTTCACAGAAAGGTCGCTGCACCAAGTTTGAACCATTTTAACCATATACTTGTTAATAAGAAAAAGAAAGCACAGATTATAGAGGACAAATTAGATGAAAAGCTACACAACATTTTATGTAAAGATTAATCTGATGACCAAATGTTAAATTGATTTCAGGATATTTCATCTTTTAAGAAAATGTAACTAAAGCATACCACAGAATGATCTATTTAAAATACACAAATCCAGAACCGCAACATGTAAGCCATGTCGGCATTTTCCATCTTCACGTTTTTTTTTAATATCCTCTCATTCTAACTGCATAGTCTCCCTCCCTTTCACGACCATCTATGCCTCTCGCTGTGTTGTGCAACCTTCCTTGCCTATGCAAAGTCGTGTGGATGTGACATTCATCCTCTCTCATGAGTCACAATCATATCTGCCTCTCACTAGCTCATTGTTAGTCGTTTGACCTTCCAAAGCAACAGTTCGGGCCTCTTACTTTTGCATACCGATTTGCACACAGTAAGCCTCTGGGTTGCCTCTGTTTTTGTGTTTTGGCTTTGTTTTTGAATAAAGGTTTCTGTGTTTCTCTCTCTCATTTTCGACAAGTTATTTGTCTCTTGTGAATTGGTGATTCCGTTGGATGTTCTATTTTTAAACCCGTACATAAATAGGATCTTATGAACTGCGTTACGATCAGACGTTATGCAATCTTGTTATCCCCCTCTCGGTCCTACATAATTACTTAGATGCGATCTTTCTACCCACTACCGATCTTGATCAAAAACTCGATCTTGGCAACCTAACCGCCAACACAATGAATAAAATATCTCAACTAAAAGAGCCTCCTTTCACATACCGTAATGTATGACAACCATGATCACACAATCCAGCTACACTGAGAAGAACTTTGGATGATTAACAAAGAATCATGCAAATAGGAAGAAAAGTAAAAGAATAAAAAGTAAAGGAAGATGAATAGAAACAATTGATATACCCACTCCTACAGAAAATAAACCAAATTAAAAAGAAAACAACTACTATGTAAGGTCACAAAAGAAACAGCTGGTATGCTCTCTAGAAAAATAGTGTTGCATTTGCTTTGTTAACCACAAGAAATTGAAGTTAAGAAAAATAAAACGGTTCCATTAATTTCAGTTTTTTCCACTATGCAAATAAAATTACACCTAAGGGCACAATAATGGAACAATATTAGTCAAAATTAAAATAAGAACAGACAGTACTATATTGTTAAATTACAGATAAATCGAACCTCTATCACGGAAACAAAGTTGACTGCCATCAGATCATATATAAGGTATCTCCTTTCCTGCTTTTTCGAATCAGGCAATGTATCAATAATCATCTCCCCGTCAAGTAATGTGAAGTGGTGAGTCTTCTCAGCCAAACCCTTGGAAGCCAACGATATAAGGGTATTAGATTTTGCACCGTTAAGTTCAAACAGCAACATATTCAGAAACTTCCATTTGAATGAAGTCATGAACAGTAATAGCAGTATACGACACACATACATCATTTGTAACCCTGCAAGGAAACCTCATTTGAACCCTTCGAAAATTGAAGTTTCTATCAATCAAGTAGCATCCATCAATAGTTATTAGCATCATATATCTTGTTCCATCAGCTTTCCATGTTGCATAGTAATAACGCTGTCGCAACAGCTGTAAATTATCCCTGCTTGCAAAGCAACCAAATTTAGCATAATACAGATAAAAAAGCAAAATCAATAGGGGAATTTAATTGCTACATTTATAAAACTATGGAAGCATAAAAACAAATGAAAAGTTTAGAAAAGAGACTTAAATATTAATATTGGTTAGAAAATTTTCATTAATTAGATAACAACAAAAAAATGTCTGGCACCAAGACTATACTTAAACTCCCCCACACCGCCTCCTAAGCATAATTGATACATTCCAGTATTCATAGATAGATACAAATTTCATTTTAAAAAAGTTTCTTGGGCACATCACTTGAATATCCTGGTGTTTGCTTCTTCTTTTTATGGTGTTTGATAACAGATGTTGCGGGAATGGGAAGCTTTGTTTCATTGATTTTGTGGAATTTTTTGTTTATGAAGATGATTATTGTGTAAACTTAGTTCTACCTCAGATGTTAATAAAATTCTTCTATCAATGAAAAAAAGAAGAAAAAAAAAACTTGCAAAATTTAATGCCAGGTGAATCTGGAGGTAGAATTAACTTTACACAGTAACCTCTAAGACAATTTACAAGCATGACACGTTTTCAAACAAGGAATAAAAGGGACAGAAATGCACACAAAAGATCCAATTTTAACCATCAACATAATCATAAGATTTGTTAAGGCACAGAAGGATGGTACAAGAAAGTACAGTAACCCAAGAACTTGTAACCTTAGGTTTGCCACTTAATTAATATAACAAATCACAATATAGTATGTTAGCGGCTTAGATAAGTTGGACCTGTTTAAAGAAACTGGGTGTGACCCTGGGAATTGCATGCGTCCTCTGGCCTGCAATTTAAGAAATTAGATATCACATCTCAAATACTAAACTCACACTCATCTAAGACAGATATTTAAAAGGCTTACCCCAACCCCCAATTTGAGTATTTGAAAGCAGAACTGACGAAATGCATCTTGCTGATCATTAGATATCTCATCTCCCAAAACATCATCATTTGTCATTATCATGTCGATCTCATGGTTCTCCTACAAGAATAGAAAAGACATCAAGATTTAATTACCATTAGAAAAAAGAATCTTAAAAGAGTATAGGCATGTATCGGTTTAGTTTCTTTCAAGGTCTTACACAGTCTCCACTGTACTGGGCTATTTCTCTATTCTGTCAGTGGCCAGCTGTCAGAGGCAGTTATAGCAGGTTAGAGTCTGTTTCAGAATCTTAGACTAAGAGTCACTGTGACTCATGTTCTATAAATATGGGTCACCTCAGAACCCAATATAAGAGTTCATATTCAGTTCAGCAACAATTCAAATTTTATCTCTTTTCTATCAGTTTATCAAACACTGTTAGATCCAAAGTACAAAACTTATAAACAACTAGGTTCAAGAATGTACTAAGGTACCATTCCCGGCATTTAAGACAGACCAAATTCAAAATAAACAAGCTTAACAGTAAGTGTCATTCACAGACACCACAATAAATGTAATGTTATCTTCAATGACATAGGATGTATGAACCTGCTACAGTTATGGTATTGGTATACTTAATAGGAGTGAAAATGGACACCGGGAAAAGATCAAAAGGAGTAAACACAGTCAAATGACTAGCTCGGGAATCCCATGAATTTTTCTGGACATCACTTTTAACTTTAAAAATAGAAAGAAAAGAAGTAAAACGTGAGAGACCAACTGGTACCATACACAGTAGATCTCTAGAGTATTCAAGAAAAGGGGGTACAGCCAACAAAACATCCAGAACATTAAAATATTATTCCAAAGGAACACCGCCACCCTACAAGGTAGAAACAATTAGACCATTGTTTCTGAATGCAAGCTGCACGAGGTACATAACAATGATAATAGACAGACGCCCAAAATGGCCAAATATACAGCAGGTACTTCCACCTTCCAAAAAAAAAGGTATTTAGAATGTTATATTTTACAGGCTTTACTGCAAAGATAAAGGAATCTTTGAGCTGGCCACCTAAACCCAAACCATGTGTTAGAACTAATAGGAAAATGGAAACAAGAATTGCATGAAAACACACCAGAATTTTGACAACCTATACATATTATGTGATATCATATGATAAAATAGAATTCACTTTCAAAAAGATCCATACATGCAACAGAGGATCTGGTACTCCATCATCATCGTCATCTGGGACTGCTTCACCATTGAGATCAACGAGTTCGGGAGTCTTCTTCCACTCAGGAGTAGGAGGACAAACTATCATTTCAGGCTTTTTTTCATGATAGAATTTATATAATGAATCAATATACTCAGGTTTATATATTCCTGGAGGCCGTGCATCAGAAAACATTTGTATCGCCTGTGAAAAAGGAAAAAAGGAAATCAAACGAGTATCAATACTGAACTTGTGAAATGTCATATAGAGATACAAAATCATATAGTGACTCCAATGCTGACCTGAGTAATAGACATTGACATTGTGCGCATTAGATAATGGATTATCATATATCCTGTACGATTATGACCATGTGTACAATGAACGAGTATATACTTCTTTGAGTGTTTTTGATGTGATAGAAATTGTATAACCTGAAATTGAAAATAAGTATATGGTTATATACTTCTGATCAAAATGTTTCACCAAAAATCACATTAGCGTGAAGGTATAAAACGGTGAGAATAAATAACTATATAATATTAAGATATAAAACCAATTAATTATTAATTATATAGACCTCAATATTATTTAACAGTAAAAATGAAATCAAGACGCATAATGGCAATGAAACTTGCAAGTGTTCAATACATACTAGCCTATAAAAATGAAATTCATGTAAGAAATAGTTTTGAAAGTGTAAGAAATCCCTATGATTGGAGCATGTCTCTAAGGTAATGTCTATGTTAATTTAAGTAAATAACAGCATGGTAGCCTAAGCCTATCCTAAAAAGAGAAATAGGTGCCATACTATTCAAAATGACTTAGAAAGACTACAACAATACTACTAAGAAAGAACAAACAAACCTCGTAGACAAAATGATTAACAGATGAATTATCAGGTACTGCACCGCGGCCCTTGCATTGGATCTAAACCACAACCATGGTCTTCAAATGTAAGGACAAGAAAAAGGAGCCACTGTTTTAAATATCTAATATATACACTAAAAAAAACATATGGCTGGGGAGAAGGATGCCCTCAACAAACCTTAACATGCCTGATAGCCTCTTTCTTTAGATCTGATACTGAATAGTATCGAGAAGTATTTGTCAAATCAATGACCAGACCAAGCTGCAAGCCAACACAACAAACTGTAAAAAAGGGCAGTCAAATGAAGCAAGCCAACACAAGTATTTGCATGACTCATACAAGTAGTGAAGAAAAGACTAGTATGTGTCATTTCCTTTCTTATTTTGTTGTTTTATAAGAACCTAGAATTCCTTTCATTGATCACTCCTGTACCAAAACCAATATAAAAAAGAAGAGAAAACACATTCTACTTACTTTTCTCCCTAAAACTCTCTGTTGATGTATCACTTGTTTAAATGAGTATCTTTTACCAGGAAAAATATAGTCATTGAAGGACTCGCCCAATGGAACCTTAGAAGGTATCATGCCAAAAATTTCCTGACCAGATGAAGGGCAATCCAACCAACCTGCTTGTAAATAATATAATGATAGTAATAACTTTTATAACATTGACAATAATCTTAATCTGTTATATAAATTCAATCAGAAAATCCTAAGGAAATTATAAAGTAGCTATACATCAGCATTTTGTAAACAGAAAATCCTTTGTGTCATGTACTTGATAGGATCATTGATCTCCACTCATAACCCCATAAGAACTCAAAATACTCTCAACTTTCGAAAGATATAAAGCCAAATTTATTCACCCAAAACTAGTTTTAGAATAAATTAAGCAAATAGCATTGTGACATCTAATAAATATCCCAAAGAATCATCCAAAATAAGTATATAAATGGAATTGTAAAAAGAGAAATCTAGTTTACCATTTCTAGAAAGACTAGTTATTTGAAAACAATAAATCGTTGAGACAAGATATGAATGAAAAACTACATCACCAATTAACACCAGCAAGCAGCGAGTTGTCCAGGGAAGAAATCCTTACCCGGAGGAAGCTTACTTCTATCATATGATTTAAGGATCTTATTATGGAAAAAATTATCATATCCAGGTGGCTGTGATACTTGCACGGGCCTGTCATCTGGACGTTCTCTTTTCAACCGTTTTTTTCTTTCTTCACGTTCCTAAAACAAAGCAGGAGTTTAGCAATTGGGTTAATGAAGAGACCTTAAAAAGTAAAATACATTTTAATTACTTACGGAGACAAAAGAATCAGCAGAAAGTGTGGCATATATATAACTAGAAGGCCAAAAAGAAATCTTGTCAGAGACTCCATCCAGTTTTTATCAAGAATTAAAATAGCAAAGAGCCAATTTAAGGATTGTGATTTTTCTCTATATCTCCATGTTCTCTATTTATGAATTAACTTTGTTGCATGTGGAAGTGGAAAGGGGAAGATATAGAGAGGGAGTAGGAGAGAGACAACAACAAAATATTCTTGATATTCAAAACTGTTAAACTTCTACAAATTCATAGACCATTTGGATTAAAAAATTTAAGCATCTTCAAAAATCCCAATTCAAAGATTTCTTGACTTAGATATAATGTATACTTTGACTGAATTACATTTAAAAATTTCTAAATCTTCTTTTATAAAACAAGTAAAACAGTTTGGTGTTGTCGATGGCGTATGGCGGTCCATGGTGGAGATCCAAAGTCCCACCATACCGGCCGCTTTGCGGCGGCGTTATAGCTGAAAAACCCGCAATATTGGCCCATATTTACCTTTGCGGCGAGCCCAAAAACCGCTATGTATATCTGCCATGACGCCGCTATTTGATAACACTAACAGTTACAAATATTTTAAGCAATTTCAATTGTCTACTAATTCAAAAGAGCAGAAATACACTATCAAGTTTTGATGTTGGCATGGGACTTTATTAAAATGGGTTGCACCAATGTACAAGTGCATGGATATGCATGGGTATACAAACTTTCTGAAAAAGAAAGATTTAGAGATATGTACTAATGCTGCTGCAGAATCAGCTTGGTTCCTTCTCAAGCAGATGATTTAATTCCTGACATGTTTCCAACAGCTCTTTTAAAAAAAATCATCTATAATATAAATTGATTTTTTCCTGTGACACGGGATGGTTATACAAATTTTACACAGTATTACCAGTATTAAAACTTGTATATAGGTTGGGAGAAAAATATATAACTCATTGCACTTCAAAACACAGTCAATCTAACCACAAAAATAACCCATCAAAATGAAAATGGATCCCCAACTAAACCTCATGAAAATCCTATATGAAAATAACTATATATTATGAACCATACCAATCACAGTTGTTAAGTAAAGGTTATATCACTATTGCATAGCATAATTGAACAAATCACTATCATTTTGTGATACATTGTTTAGCACAAAATATAGCACTGTTGAGTAGCTGAATTTGAACTAACGGCTATTTTCTGTAAATTGACAGCACGAATACCGTTAAATAAGAAACTACTATCGCAGTATTCCAAGGCAGGACGAATCAAATCCAACTTAAGCCACCAACCGTGACAACATCAAACTGAAGAAAAAGCATAAGAATAGATAGTAAAATGTACCCGGCGTGCTATATCAGCTCCACTCTCTATATGTTTTTCTTCCGTGTCATACTTTTCTTTTGGCACATCATACTCTTCAACCGGCGTCTCAAAAGGTTCTTCGTCTTCCTCCGGAACAGGAGAGGCATTCAAGTCCAGAGAAATCGTCATCACATGCAACCGCCACAGCAATTCAAATAACCCACAACTATCTACATGTGCTCATACATGTATTCTTTCACCTGCACCACACCATTCATATAACAGTCTTATTATCAAAAGAACGTGCCACAGCAACATTTCATCAAGAACCGAACAAAACAAAACAAATTCTACTCTTTAATAGTTCAAACTTCAAATTTCAAACATCACGATAGAACACTTAACCTAACACCCAATTTTCACCGATCCTTCAAGAAAATCACATGTTAATCATTTTTCCCTTCTTGAATCCTTCCAACTACTAAAACAACTCATTTTCATAAAAAATTTCGCAAAATTCACGTCAACATTCACATCCAAGATTCAAGAAACATCAAAATTAAACAAGTTAAAGAGTGTATAACTGTAACTGTAGCAAACCTACCTACTAGAATTCCCGCTTTGAACAGAGAGTGATGAAGGAGTTGAAACTCCAAAACCCTAGAGAGAGAAAGAGAAGCAGTGAGAGAGATTTTCCTTGTTGAGTTAGAGAGAGAAAGGAGTAAGGAGGTGTTTGTTTGTTTTGTTGCAGCTTAGAGTGAGAAAGAGAGACGAAACAGAGTTTGAAACAAAACGAAAAGTGATTCGAAGTTTCTTCAGTTGGAAAGAAAGAAAACAAAAAGGAAAAAGCGTTTTATAGAGTCACGGTGACAAGAAAGAAAAAACCATTGAGATTACGTGTAAAAGTGTAATTAGAACCGAATGATCCATAAATCGGTACACGGTGGCATATATAGTTGGTTCGATGTTTCACATACTTTTACTGTTACAATGTGACTTGGATTATCTTCTCAATTCATAGTATGTAAACTATATTGGGACTAAATTAGAAAATGATTGATGCTTTTATATTCTAGTATGATTTTAAACCGTCAATCAATCACAACTATATAGTTAATTAATTCACTCTTTTATTTTTTTAAAAATTCAATGACATGGCATAATAATTTCAATGTAAAATGTGTTTATGTACTACTTTTTAACTCATAAAATAACTTTATATATATATATATATATATATATATATATATATATATATATATATATATATATATATATATATATATATATATATATATATATATATATATATATATATATGATATGCGAGTCAAATATATGATATGATAAATATTATCTTGTCTTTTTATATAGTATATTTTATTTTTATTTTACTTTATATCATACATTTTATATTATATTATATCTCTATTATATCATACACATCAAACGATTGCTAATAAAAATACATTAATAGTAAAAAATAAATTTAAACGTTAATTATTAATAGTGTAAAATTATTTTACACGTATATTCCATTTTTTCATATGCAAATTACTTTTTTAATTAATAATTAGCGTGCTTAAAATTTCTATAAATTTAAATTTGATTGTTATTCTAATTTGTAAAGTATATATCATGTTTTTTTATCTAAATTTTTATATTAAAATAATTAAATGTTTCTTTTTAAAAAGGTTAAATTAATTGGTTCTATCATCATTAGTCATTACTTAATGTCTAAGTTTTTCTTTTATACTAAAATTAAAACAATATTCATTTAAATTATGGATTCTGCTAAAACAAAAAGACTGAAAAATTACATACAAACTCGAAATATTCAGATTAATACTTCATATTGTTTTATTTTTTATGTTTATTAAATAATTAATATATTTGATCTATATAATAGATATATATAGTAATTATTCAATGAATGTATAAGATAATTTTTTATAAATAGAATCAGATATAGTAGTATTTCTAAAAAATATATTTTTTAGATTCATGAAATAATCAATGTATCTATTTATTATATAGATCAGATACATTTATTATCCAATTAATATAAAAGTGGTTTTTTTATTTTATAAAATAGAATTAGAGGGAGTATCGTAACATTGTCAATTTCATACATACATGACAATGTCTACAAATATGACAAAATTTAAATATTTGAAATATTCATACTTCTAACTCTGCAATGTTGAATACACTAAAGTAATTGATTGAATACACATCAAATATGGATCAAAGATGACATTGTTAATCTAAACCAAATGAACATTGTAATGAGACGAGAAAGAAGACATTTTCGCACACACATGAGAACAAAGCAACAAAAACACAAACAAATAATTTATATGTATGTGAAAATCACTTATTCAAATAAAAAATAAAGCAATCTAGATCAAGATAGGTGATTCTAGATCAAATTTGACCTCAACTCACTCTATCTAAGGGGGTATGTTAGGATTGTAAGACAAGTTGTGAAAAGAGATCTTAGAATGTGGATTTGGTCTTGTTTCCTTAGGGATCTAGGATTATCGGTGAATTGATGAGGTGAATTTTTGACGAGGTGGTGCAGATCTCCACTGCGCTAGCATGGGGTGGATCTGCAAGGTTAGCAGTCTAACACCTAAGTCAATGAGTGATCATAATCAAACATTTTCCTGTATGTGTGGGCATTTATTTACGATAGGTGATAATTGGGCTTATGCAGTATTGAGTATGTTGTTGGCTAAGAACATTACCCCCCAGGGCTTGTCGTGGTGTAGCATATAGAAAGCCTTTTAGAAACTAGGTCGAGTCCTCTACGTCGGGATCTTTTATGTGGAGAATGAAGATTGAGAAAAATACAAGAAAAGGAGGTTTGAATTAGGGTTTTCAAAACTATTTCTTTTTCAAATGCTTCTCACAAACAAACAATGATAACTAAGCAAGAAAGGAAAATGACATGTTTGGTTTATACAAGTTCACCTTAGAAAAGGCTACTCTTGTCCATCCGCCAAGGTGATTTTGTCTTATAAAATTATTTAATCCAATAATCTAGAAAGGTTACAACAACCTCTAAGAGTTTAGAAAAACACCTTAGCCCTCTCAAGTAATTATGACTACAACTTAGTCACTCAAGGAAATAAATCTAGAAAGATTTACAATCAAACAGTGTTTACAAAATTGTTTCTAAAAAGAAGATTTAACACTTCGATGAAGAACAATTATTTACACACAAATATGAGCAACAACTCTTGTGTATATAACAATGATAAATAACACAATAATGAGCAATAACTCTTGTGTTTTTAGAGAAAAGAAGTTAACACAAATATGAGCAATAACTCTTTGTGGTCTTTGATATCTTTTGAATGTTTTCTCTCTTTTGTTTTCTTTCTTTGTACAGTAACTTCGATGCCTTGATCTTTTGAATAATTTTCAAATTGTTGTGACAATCTCTTGGTATCAAGTGAAGTAGAAATCCTTTTTTATACGCTAAGAAAAGAAGACTATTGGAAAATTCCGCTTTCACCAAGCCGCCTACTACAACAGTAGCGTATGATCGTGGGATACAAAGGGCACATCAAAACTTTATCCGTACACCGTGTTTTCCATAAAAAATGAAAAAGGTGTTGTATGTTGTACTTTATTCTTCTTGTGTAAGTTTATGGTCTTTTCTTCTGTTGAGATACTTCTAATATGAAGTAAGAGAGAGCGCAAAAGAGATCACGTCTTTGTTCTTAATCTTCTGATGGAATGTTTATGATAAGAAGTGATAAAATATTGCAAAAGATGTTTCATTATAGTGTTCACAAAAATATCAGAGTCTTTCAGAACCAGAACCTTTTCTTCAGACATATAGAAACAACTTATCTGGCAACAGTTTCATGATATCTGATCTGGAAGCAAAAGTTTTTCTGAGAAGCACTTTATCTTGATTTCTGATCTTTGAAGCAAAAGCTTGATATTTAATCTTCATTGTTGATTATTTTCTGGACACACTTGACTTCTAAAGCAACGGTTTATCTGAAGAAGTACACATGGATCACTTTCTGACGAAAATTCATCATTCATTAAAACTGCTGATGTTACATCAGAACCAGATGCAATTGTCTTTCTGAGGCGAGCTAAACACATTTCTGATGATTCTTCATACAATAATCATAAATCAATTTGAATGTTTTATCTGTACACTTAAAGAACTATTAGAGCACAAAATTGTTACATATAAAATATATGTATTATTATCATCAAAACTAAGATATTATCTGCAGAACCAAATCTTTTTCTAACAATCTCCCTCTTTATATGTCTTTGGATAAATTCGATAATACTCTCTTGATCCGCATTCATCAAAGGTATTGCTTTAATCCATTTTGTAAAATAATCAATCCATACTAGGATATATCTCTGGCCTTTGGATGAAGCGGGTAGAATTTCTCCAACCAAATCTAATGCCCAACCTCTAAAAGGTCAAGGTTAAACGACCGAATGCAATTCACTCGCAGGAGTGTGTTGAATACCTGCATGAACTTGACACTATTGGCATCCCTTGGAGAATTCTATGCAATCTTTCAAAATGGATGGTCAATACATGCTATAATGGAACAAGATCCATTTCATCTTATGACATGATTGATGTGCTCCACATGCCCCACTATGCACATTCGATAGTGCCAAGTATGTTTCACTTTCTCCTAAACATTTGAGCAAGACTCCTTCTGGTGTTTTCTTAAAAAATTTGTTACCTATTAAAATATAACTCAATGCACGATATTTAACTTTCCTTTCTGTATCTACTGTTGGATATTTTAGATAAGCTATTATTAGGCTTCTCCAGTATGTATCTGCTAAGCTATCTGTTGTACCCCAAAATTTGCACTCACTTTTCTCAAGGCGTTTTCTCACAAGGATTTAAAAAAAAAGTTCAAGTTTGCACAAATACATTTGGATTTTTAATGCCCCACGTAGTTTTCATGGATCATATTGGATTTTCAAACATCAAGTCAAAGAGGAAACTGTTGAAAAGGGAAAGATGATAAATTTGATTTTTTGACAAAAATTGAAGAAAAGTTAAGCTTTCTTCTATTCATGTTGGGCATCATTTTGATTCATGCTTGTTTCACAAGTTTCGATTGGGGAATTGTTTCCTTCAAAGCAACCTGCTTCGGATCCACCTTAATGCCTGCTTCAAATCC